TGCGCGGCGAGAGAAATGTCCGCGCGAAATCGCCCCGTTAACGCCCGCGTTCGGTCTCCTTTCTCGGGACACCGCGAGAGGTTAGCCCCGCGGATCTCCGAGTCCTTCTCGCCGAAACGGTCCCGCCAATTCGCGCGGCGCGAATACACCGAGCTCCAGCTTCAATTCGTGCCTCCTCGCGCGTGTAGAATCTCACGCGTGATGCGCGACGAGAGAAATGTTCGCGCGAAATCGCTCTTTTCTCGGGTACTGCGAGAGGTTAGCCCCGCGGATCTCCCGCCGAAACGGTCCCGCCAATTCGCGCGACGCCAACGATCGCATCCCCGCGTGCGATCGCTACAACAGAGCCCGCGTCGAATAACGTCGGGATAATTAGTGCGCGCGGTCGTAATTACATCTCCTCTTTCGCGAGTGTTGTGTTGTGCCAGTGCGAAATGGAGGAATCTGAGAGGAGGCGGTGGCCCAGGAGGCATCAGGCGCCAGCGGAGCAACTTAGCGGTAAATATTATATTTTAATTGGATAAAATCGATCTTTTTCCAGTTTCTTATATTGAGTTGTTTTAAATCATAATCCCCGAGGGGGAAACCGCTGAGGGTATTGCGGTGTACAGATTTGCGGCATTACTGGGCATTACTAGGCATTTTTTGGCATTAGTTTGGGCATTAGATCTTGCTGGGGCATTATAAAGATAAAATAAGATGAAATAAAATAAAGTAATGCCCACTGGGCATTAGCGGGCCATTGGTGTACAAGATTTTGGCCAGCGGTTTCCCCCTCGATAATCCCATATAATTTCTAATAATTAGAAATAATAATTTAAAGACAAAAGCAATTTTTAATTGAACAAAAATTTATTCTCGTGAAAATCTTTCGAGGAAAATCTTACGCGATATAATTCTTTACACACTTAACTAAAAAGTTTGATACGTGTAAGAATTATAGTTTACAATTTTTTCTTGAACACCATTTTATAAATATATATATATATAATATAAATTTTATGCTTTTATGTTTCAGAATCACCGTAGCTACGTTGCAGATACAACTCCGCTGTTGCGCATCAGGTCGGTGAGTAATTTTTTTTTATTATTAAGGTAACGAATCTACACTTCGTAGATTGTAGTTTGTAAATTAGATCTCGTAGAGTAGATAGATACATCTCGTAGATTCGTTACCTTTAAATGGATTGGTTACAAATAATATCATATTTTATTTACTATACATACACTGATAAAAAAATATCTTAATCCAAAACAATATTACTTTACTCAAGAAAATTATTCATTAGGTGGCTCCTAATAGCCTATTAACTTAAATTTAAAAAATAAACGAATTATAACATGCATTTCTTTAATTTAAGTTTATTAAATATCAAACGGTAGATAATTTTAAATTTCAAAAAATTTGACTTTAATTCTATAAAATATTTACTGAGATATAAGTTTTACAGCGAAGAAAATTGGATTTCTTATTTGACAAAAACAATTATTTTATTTAATAAACAGTATTCTCGATCTCATGAAATTTTTAGTTGAATGTAGAAAATGTAATGATTTAAATTAATTTATTTAATATAATACACAGATTTACTTGCGATTTGATATTTTTATTTAAATAGAGTAAATATTTACTTCAGTAAAAAAATAATTTTAAGTCAATCTGTTTACTTAGTTAAAAAAATTTTTGTCAGTGTATATTTAATCTATCGAAGATTAGTAGTAGCGATTTTCAAAGTGAAGAATCGTTGAACCGCGTTGCAAAAATTACGCGAAATATTATTGATGACATGAAAATATACGAATTGAATACGAAATGACGAATTATTTGTTGATGTATTCGTCTATCTAATTTCTTGTAACCTGTCCATCTGTTTTTGATATTTTGTACATTTTACTTGATATACTTTCAAGATGCGTATTGCACGAACGACATAGTCGCACGCATCTTCGCGGTCGGTTTTCGCGATCGGTTTTGCATCGAGAAAATTTCCTTATTTATTTTTTTATTTTATCCACAACATTATTAGTTTTCGCGGGATATTATTGAAATCGGTACACATATAAAGCCAAATAAATTTTTTTTACATATTTGACTTACGATTTCGAATTGAAAGAACAGTTATAAAGTTATAATCGATCCACATTTTCAATCAAGTAACGGAATTAAATAACGGAATATAAAAAATATATTCGATGAATTTTATGCAGCCAGTTTTTACAAAGAAATTTTTTTTAAATTAACTTTTTATCGTGTATTCTCCGATACGATCGACGCTCGCTTATTATCCGAATCGAACGTAATATTTGTCGATAACAACAAATCGACAATGGAAAGAGAAGAACTCTTTCCTATTGGTGTCTGGTTATGACCAGATTATATGGCCAGGAGCGACGAAAGGTAGGTCCCATCTGGCCCGACGAAAGAAGAATGCATTCACTAAGGAAAGTGGTCTTCATTGACCACGAAGGTGAATTATGGAAATATGCAAAGTTTTTTTTTTAAAGTCGGGTGGGTTATCCTTCTCTATATTTTCTCGCATATACATATATGCGAGATTCGAAAAATCTAATTTAAATCTCAATCGCGCGCGAATTAAAATCCCAAAGCGTATCCCTATAATAAAATCGCGTCGCGGCTTTAATTAAAAATTTGTAGATTTGTTAGGTTAGATCCCAACACGGGTAGGTAATAAAACGGACAGATAGGACTGTAAATTGGAATACGGGTAGATAGGAATTCGGGTAAACAGGGACAGGGGGATATAATTTGATAGTTTCGTTCATAGACGAAATAATTATAACTGAATGTAATAATAATAAATATACTTATATGCTTGTAAGGTACAGTGTAAGAAAAATAAAATAAATGGTAAAATTGTTAAAAATCGTATTGTAAAAAAGAGGACCATTGGATCGGGCGGGCCTCTTTAGATTGATCTGTTTATATCGAATGAAATTTTAAACTGGATTCAAATCATCTTTTAATTGATAGATTTTTGTTTGCATACTTACAATACGATTTTGTTGTAGGCACATTAATAAAAAATGTTATATGTATAGTAGGCACAGCTATATGTTTCATATTGTAATTTCCTGTTGTTTAATGCATACCAAATGTTTACATAATGTACTCTCTTTCTCTTTTATAATGTTATAAAGTTATGTTGTGAGAAAAATAAAATAATGATAAAACTATTATTAGACAGGATTATTAGGAAGGAAAGAGGACCGCCGATTGGAATCGGTGGGGGTGGTGGAGGGCCTCTTATACAATTAAGTTGGCCTGTCTTTAACATAAAGACAGACAACAATAAAGATTATGCATATGTACAAACACACAAAGCCTTTCTATTAGCAGGCATAAACTATGTTGTTATATCAAGTCTTAATTAATCTGCAATTCGATCTATGTTGAAGAACACACGATTTTGCGCGCACACAAAAATAATTATCATCTTTCGATGTCATCCAGCCAAGTCTAAAAAGAATCTCTCAAAAGTCTGAATGTACTTTTAACGATAAATTTTCTTATTTCACTTTAAATTACTGTTATTAATTTTTCGACTTTACTCTAAGATTTTTTTTTCATGTCTATTTATTCTGCGAGATTTGATTGTTTTAAAAGACAAACTTATAATACAATCTTCACCATTTGTCCTCCGTCACAAATACACTCGGGTCTATGTCAATCTTTGCATTTATTATAACGTCAAAGTGAGAATGTGCAGAAGATTCCTACACTGAGAAAAAAGAACTGTTGAGTCAAGAAATTATTTCTTGATTCAACTATATGTTGCAGTCGCGGGCTGTCAAACAAATATTTGTTAATTTACGTAAACATTTGTTAAATAAAAAATATATATTTGAATAAATGATGTATGTTTAATTGAAAAACATATATATTTGAATTAAAGAAATACTGTTAACTGAACATATTTAGTAACATCAACAATTTTTTTTCTCAGTTCGATACCACGATTTATATCAGATCAGGCAATACAGGACGTTCCAGCAATATTGCAAGATTCGTAATAGCTGGAACGTTAACAATGTTGCTGCAATATCATTGGAATTCTGCGTTGCAATTCTGAAATGCAAAATTTATCGTTTTAAACTTGAAACTTCCCACGAGTATCATGCGCAAATTGTTTGTCTCTTTTTCACACACGCACACAATCACACGAGCCGTTTATATTTTCAAGAAAACGATTTGAAATTCTTTTTCCAAGTATGAAGCGCGTGCCAAAGACAATATCGATTCCGTTTCGCCACATCTCGCAAACCTGCCTTACTTGTCGACCCGAAGTTCACCGAGATCGATTTTATTTCCGAAAAGTTGCTCACGTAGGTACAAGTTACGAAAATCTCGCATAGCTTTCTTCTGACGTCACGTTCAAGAGAGCTGACGTACTTAAGATTCTTATAGACACGCATGTGAATGCAGGAAGCGCAAGCAGGAAATCGATATCGCTGTGTGCGTGTGTGAGAAAGAGATAAACACTTCGCTGATGATGCTCGTGTACAATTCCAAGGCTATTAGCTCTTGTCTGGATGTTATATAAATATTCATAACGATAAAGAGAGGATCATGCATTTTTCTCTTACACCGTTGCTTATCTCTTACGCTATTCCGATGGAACAAATTTATGTTGTGTGAGCGAAAAGCAGTCGTTTGTTGTTTGACAGCGAAACAAAGGCCAAATTATTTATTCAAAATTATGCAATTTAACGGCCGCGATGAAAAGAAGTATAATAAGATTGCAATAATCTTATGCGTATTACTCGATCATATAAAAGTTGGCTAGTTGGCCAAAGGTCAGGAGTAAACAAAAATGCAAAACTTGTTTTTCTCGATAGTAATTTGTATTGCACGATGAAAACGGGGTGTCCCGTAAATGACTCGGTTATTATATGCGTGAAATCAACATTAATGCGACAAGTGCGCAATATGGATATCCCCGGCCGCTTGCAACGCGTGTCTTACTGGTTTTTTCTCCTATACATATAAGGAAACAAGTTGGAAGCAGATAAGAGTGGACGGTCATATAAATCGAAAAACGGTTCGTTAAAGACCGTCATTTGACTGCTGTTTTCGGTGTCACTTAAGACGCTCCCATTTCGTCTTCACTCGTGTCTCGAACTTGACGTCGGATTACTCCCCCGGATATCATCATGAAATATATTTTTGCATGTGAGTACAATATAAAAGATAGCTGTACAACATTGATTTTTTTAGGTGGAATTTTTCCCCTTCTAGATTTTCCTTAGATTTTTTAGAATAACGCCCGATACATTCGAATTTCAATACTCTGCTTGAAATGATAGAAAATTTGTTTATTATATCCTACGGTGATTTTGAATTCCTTATTTCACACCTGACTTACGAAATTTTAAGTGTACCAATGGTATTATAAAATATTAAACTAGATATTCAATTTCTATCCTATCCATTTTATAATCAATATTTTATAAACAGGTTATAATTGTTATAAAAAATTATTATAAATAGTTTATTATAAAATAGTAAATAAATGATGCAATATTTCCTATGATTGAGAAACATCAACTTATCCCATACAGCACAGAAGCAGCTACATTACAATAACGTTACAATATCATACACTGCACTGCAATATCGTAGAAATATTGTATAAACATATAAATTTCCAATGCAATTTAAACAATATAACAACATTTCAAAATTATGGTGAACAACTCTGTTTGGTTAACGAAAGTTTTAGTCGTTGCATCATGTTTAATAAGAATACAATTTTCTTTCAAATAACGGATATTAAACAAATGGTTTTTGTGATAATGGAACGGCACGTGTAAATGGTGTGTCTTTGTTACAGTTGTACTCTTTTTAAATGGTTTTAATTGTTTTTTAAATAGTTTAGAATTTTCATCATAATGCATTTTTCCAATAAATAATAATCTTTAATGGCATTATATTTGATAAGAGTACAGTTTTTACAATTTTCTTACTAATTGTTGCAAGTATTAGACATAAATTATTTTTTTATTGATAAAACAACACATAAAATAATAATGTCTTTGTTACAGTTGGCGTTTGTACTTAAATTGTTTTTTAAATTGTTTCTTATCTTAAAAAAAATTAGAATAGCTACATATAATGTTGCAATATACATTTCATATACTTACATCATACCATATACATTTTTCTCTGTTAACAAAACTTAATAATTTTTCAAAAAACCGTTGTCACAGTGTTCCTATAATTTTGCTGTGCTGTGAGTGGGATATGAACATTCATAAACATTCTACATGATTGAAAAGAATATTATTATAAGATAGGATTAAAATATATAGACAACCTACGTTGTGCAACTACTAGTGCATGATAAATCGATCTAGAAATCCTATCTATTTCTACCGCATCCAATTATTTCCATCAAACATTTTAAGCAAGATAATGCATTTCCTATATTGTGTTAAATCTGAAAATATTTTAAAAAATTATAAGATATTTTCCCCGACGTTTTATTCGAATTTACGAGATTTGTCTGTAGAGATGTGTTAAAATATACATATGCACGTCATGACACGTCACTTTACTGATAGTTGTTCAAGCATCGACTCTGATTTGGTTGGTCGCCTTGGCATTCCCGCAAAGAGACGCGCCGGGCGGAATTGCCGATGACTCCATAATTTTCGATAATAATGAATCGAGCAGCTCGCCGAGTAACATAATGCAGAGTACCGTCACACCACCGAGCACCACCACAAATTGTCCGTGTGTCGCAACTGCTGAATACAATCCAGTGTGCGGCACCGATAACGTTACCTATTGGAATATGGGAAGATTTAATTGCGCGAGAAATTGCAATCCTGGTACCATAGTTTTATACTTTACCGTTTTACCGTTCCTTTTTATCATTATAAAAAATTTAAACTTATTTAACATCACAAATTTTTCTTCATCACTTCTATTTGATTATTAAATTACTTATAGTTCCTGACTTTATGCCATTTACCTAAATATTTTTTCAGCGCTTCAGATAAGGGTGATCAGGGCTTGCGAGCCATACATCCAGCAGAGCAGTAATTAAATATTGACCTGCCATCGCTTCCATTAATAAATAATACGACATATAGGTATAAAGAAACGTATTTTTAGTACTATTAAAATTGTATATTATTTTATTCTATCTTTTACGTTATTATTATCTTTTATTCGTATATAATAATAAAACCATATTTCGAATGTTACAGACTTGAATGATACATACGTCCATTAGCAGAAATTTCTACTACGTGATTGCAAACGTGATCAATTCTCATTGACATATCGCAAACCATGTGTTATTAATGTTCGTTATATTACTACATTTAAACATGTGCATTTTTAACTTGCCATTGCTAATACTTTATGTAAAAACTATGGCTTACTGAATATTTATATACTTAAAATATAATTATACTAAATTAGGAATTAACCTGCCATGCAATACAAATAGTTCTTTATTGCATTCTAATATAATTGCGGCTATCAATTAGGTACACATTTCAATCAAACTTTTGTTCACTTTAGCTTACAGCCAGAAAGTGGGATTAGGTACACATTTATATCAACACATACTGTCGCGATATACACCATAATAGGACACGCAACTCTTATCGATTTTTAGTTTTAAAACACTGCGACATAAATAACGCAATTCTGTCGCAGTTGACGAGTGATGCGTTCGAAAAGATAATAATTTTGCTGATAAGATACTGTTAACATTCTTGTGATTTCTAAGCATAAGTCTAAGTCTACTCATTCGTGGCTGAACAAGCCAGAATAAATTTTCGAAAAGTTTTTTTCAGAAGAAAAGATTCTAAAATTTTGTTTGTACAGCTTTAATAATTAATGTATTATATTAATAAACTTTTGTAATCAATGCAATATCGTTAAAAAACTAATTTGGATAATAATATCTCGTAAATGTCCTTTAAATTTAAAACAATTTTTTATTTCAAATATATTACAATACGGTAAATTTGACGATAAATTGATGCTAAATTGGCAGCAAATATTGAGTAAGACTTGTTGTTACATAGTTTAGTCAGCTGACCTAGCCTTTTAAATACCTTTTATTAAGTATCAAAATACGTAACAGTAAGTCTTGACTGTGTACTCGATATTTCCTGTGAATTTATAATACTATCCGGTAGAGAAAGATACTTTCTGGGTGCTTCATTCGATAGCTAGTTTCCACTTAAAAATGTCTGGTCTAACTTGTCTGCGAATTTGCGTCAAAATGCGCACGTCATGACACATCATTTTACTCGATAGTTGTTCAAGTATTGACCCTGAGTTGGTTGGTCGCCTTGGCATTCCCCTAAAGAGACTCGTCGAGCGAGATCACCGACGACTCCATAATATTCGATAATAATGAACCGAGTAGCACCACACCAATCACCACTACAACTGTGCGTTGCAGCTGGTGAATACAAATCGATGTGGCACTGATAACGTTACCTATTAAAATATGAAAAAAGATTTAATTGCGCTAAAGCATGCAATTTAAGTACATTAATCCTGCTTTACTATTTTATTATTTCTCTTTCATTATTATATGAAGTTTAAATTTATCTTATATCGATTCTCATAAAAACTTTCTTAGTATTTCGATCTCATTATTAAACTCATTATTTATTATAATAATGCTACATTTTTTAAGATTTTGAGATAAAAATGATGGCTTACGAACCACACGGCCAGTGAAGACCCCTGTGAAGCTAGACCCCATTATTTAAAATTTTAACTTTTTTTACGAGTTTCCTATAGATTTACAATAGTTCCAGAGTTCTTGATGGGTTTAAGAAATAGTTCTGCCCATTAAAGACGTTAAAATGAATTTTTTTAATGGGGGGCTAACTTCACGCAGCCCCCGTTCGTAAAAACTAATTTTTTAATGGAGTTCTGGATAGATTTCGCATAGTTCTAGAGTTCTTGATACATTTTAACAACTGCACGAGAAAGTAAAAAAATACGAAGTTGAATCAAGAAACAGTACCCCAGAAATAGGCATAACTATAAAAGTATTAATGTAATCGAATTTTGCAATTAGGATTTTCAATAAAACTTTGCAGGGGGCTACCGGGAACTTTCAACAGAACTGCCGGAACTGTTCAAAAATTTTTTCGGTTCTTATAAGACAGAAACTGACACTTAAAATCGCCCATAACTTTTTCCCCTTTAATCACACAGACTTTTGCCATTAGGATTTTCGATAGAACTCTACGGGGGCTACCGGGAATTCTCAACAGAACTGCCGGAACTGTTAAAAAACTGTCTTATAAGACTCGAAAAAAATTTTTGTATAAATAAATTAATATCTCTTAATACTAAAAATTGTATAATATAATTTTATTTTACTTTCTTGCATTATTATCTTTTGTTCGTGTAATAGTAAAACCAGCATGCACTGAATGTTACAGACTTGAATGGTTATACGTATGTCTATTAGCGGAAATTTCTGATACGCGATCGCAAACTATCAATTCCCGGTCATCGACATGTTGCAAAATTCATACGTTATTAATGTTCGATGTATTATTACCCCAGTGAGTATCGATTAACAGTTACATAACATCAATAGGTATTATCATTTCCTACTCAACAATGCAACTGTTGTGTACAACATGTGATACATTTATATTATTAAATAGGAAATTATAATATTGATATTAGATGTTAGTCGGTGATTACTGGGACATTTAAACATGTGCATTTTTAACTTGTTATTGCTAATACTCTGTGTAAAACCTATGGCCGGTATTCATAATTAGATCTTATATTCGAGACCGTCTTGAATGATAATGACTATATACTTTTCTTGACAATACAATTTACAACAAAAATATTGCCGAATGTCTACTATGAGCTGGCAATAAGCTAAGATGCTATGAAACAATATCTAATTCGCTTTAGTATTTCTTTATCTTTCATCTTCACAGGAAGTTTGACAATTAGCGCGCTGTGAATAAGTCATACCGTTATTGCGAAATCCCTCTTTTTACTTATACTTACGCGCACTGCAGACAGGAGCGCTGGTTGGCAACCGGTTCTATAAAAAGACGCGCAACTGATGCTGCCAAATCGAGTACACCGTTGAACTTCTGTAGATTAAACATCGTACCATGTCGATGTTGGCGATCTCTTGTCAAGCAAACTTGAGCAAAATGTTGTTTTATTTGTCGCTGAGTAAGAAAATTATTTGAAATACTTCGTGAGTGGCGCGAAATGTTTATTCTCATACATCAATTGGTTTTAATATCGTCTCCATTGTGTTGAATTCTTACAGTTGTTGCATCGCCAATTCTCATTACTGCGTTCCCACAAGTAAGTAAATGTTCTTTCGTGCAATTTTTGTAAGAGAGGAATTGAGAATTATTTAAACGATTTGAGACTTTTGAGTATATTATAATAATATTGAATATGTTGTTGAGAAATATAATATCATGTCTTATGTTAAGCGCAATAAACGATAGTGCAGATATATCGTAATGTTCGTGGATTGTTTAATCCTTTATACAATAATAACACCTTTATTTTACGTGCCCTATGAATAGAGATATAATAAAAAGTTCGTACGCGCTTTATTTACTCTGAATCCAATATCGGTAAAGTTTTTTGCATATCTTTTGCGTTTGTTAAAGGTAATATTTCTGTATTTTTGAAAAAAGTATCGAGAGTTTATAATATTTGTAAGTTTAATTAAATATATTTCATAGAATTCGGCTGATGGATCTTCAATTCGACAAGATGGTTTTATTTTTGACGGTCCAGTAGCTTCCGGGCAACCTAATGGACAACAAAAAATTACTTCAACATCCACAACTGTGATGTCTACTACTTTGTCTGATGACTTATATAATGTATGCTTAGGGAACTGCCCGGTAATTGTAATTCTTCTCTTACTGAAATCGACGTAACTTTACTCAAAACTAATTTCAGAGTTTCTTGAATACATTTTGCATTTGCTTTTGAAAATTTTAATATTGAATCTATTATAATGGCATTATTCTCTCATAGACGACACAGGAATACAATCCTGTTTGTGGCACAGACAAAATTGATTACACCAATCCAGTAGGATTGGGCTGTGCGCAACGTTGTGGAAAAGGTGATATATTTTATGACAACCTCGTTATATTTAACAATTGCATTTATTTTGCTACATGAAAGATACATGGATGATAACAATATAAAACAAGCTTTTATCAGAATAACACTGATATCGAAGACAAATTTTTTGCTTTAACGTTAAAACGGTCGAAGATTTAATCTGTTTCAATGAGACAGGTAGATTACTGTTATCAATTTCTTTAATTTATCTTTATCATGCATTTATTTTGCTACATGAAAGATAAATGGATGATAACAACATAAAACAAGCTTTCTATCATAGTAACAATGATGTCGAAGACTAATTTTTTGCTTTAACGTTAGAACGGCCGAAGAATTTAATCTGTTTCAATGAGACAGGTAGATTACTGTTATCAATTTCTTTAATTTATCTTTATCATTGCTTAAACCCTTGAAATTATATTAATTGTATTTATATAGCAAATTGATATTACTATGTAAAGCATAATGAGGAAAAGGACTAAAATTAAAGAAGAAAATTTGTCCCTTATACCCACACGAGATAAAGGAAAAACTGTATACTTCCAAATATTTTCAGCCGTTCTAGCATTAATGGATTTCGCAATAGCAAATTTATACATTAAACGATTTTTGCCTTATAGAATATATAAAACAATAAAAAACTCTTATATATAATTACAGTATAAGGCAGTGCGATTATGAACGTATTAAAATGCTCAACACACAAAATTTTATATTTACAGATGTGACATTAAACTATTATGGACGCTGTTCAACAGGCAGAACTGGATAATTTACAATTTTCATTATACAAGTTCATAAAAATAAATGTTTTAACGAAAAAACCGGCAAGTATAAGAAACATGAACGTATTTACACACCGTTATGTATGCATATATAGTTAAGGAAATGTGTTCAATTGTTTTTTGAACGAGCATAATAATTTATTGACTATTTACTTTCACTTTGGTCTTTTTACTTGGTATGCTTTTAAAATTGATATTACTAACGTAAAACAAATTGTACAAATGGATTTGGTAATATTCATAAGTCGTTAAAAACTATTCCATAACGAATAGGAAATATCTCGTGTATGACAAAAATCATCCGATCGAGGAATCATTTCGGTCGGCCCACCTCACCCGTCGTGCGATTTCGAAGTTCCCTCCGTGAATCCCGTAAAGGTGTCGCGCCAATATCTCAGCTCTGTCCTCTTCCGCCTCTACAGCCATTCTTCTGTAGCGACGAACTGCTATGATACAACCGGCGGTGAGCGCAATCTGGATTATTAACCAAAAGATGAGAAGACCTAGAGCTAGACCCTCGTCCATGCAAAAAAAGCTGTCTCCAGATTCTGAAAATAAAGCAAGACTCGTGTATAGCTCCGTTAGCTCTGTACCAATTTTACTGTCTATGTAGGATTTAAAAGTGCACGTCGAATTTCTAAAATCGAAGTTCCCGACGCTCTTGGAGGGCGTAGCGATACCGATATTAAACTCACTTCCGCCGGCGATCACAAGCGTATCAGGATTTTCCCTGGATAAATGGCCCGCCGTTATCACTGGACTTTGAACAATGATAGATGTTTGTAACGGTAATTCCGCGGGCGTGAGGTTTTTGAAAAGTTCTGTTACCTCGGCGGTGACCGGCTCCTCGATCGAACGTCGCTTCCTGCCATACGAGAGCAATCCCCCTCTGCACGTGGCCTTTAAAGAAATCATCAATTTCTCATTTTCTCGCTCTTTAAAGTGTATAATTGTCACTTATACAAAAGTTCTAAATTAATTTGTATTTATTTAAGGAATATCACTAATATATTTCCTTATATAAATATTTTATTACGATATTTTAATATTATATTCAGTAATACAATCGTGACTTAGGGAACGTAAAAATGTTAAAAAAAATAGCCGTCTTACTTACCGGTTCGCACACCTCGACACAAAATCTAACGATGACATTGAATCGGACAATTTGGCTGTCGGGAAATTTAAAGGCACTAAACGTTGAAATCAAAGAACGGTTATCGATTGGATCTTTCAATAGCGCGGGAAAGGTCGCCGGATCCGTCGGACATCCAATTTCGTCCAAAAGGAGATACGAGGAATCTCCAGATGCACTACTAGCTACAAGGTGTCCAGCCGCGATATCATAAATCCCTGTAAAAAGTCATATCCTTCTTTTTCTCTATGAATCGAGAAAAAAAGATACATTTCATGCAGCCGATACTGAATTCGCGAGAAGTTTTATATATCGAATATACCATAGAGGGGCAAAGCTTTAACACAACCTTAGGAAAATTCTATAGTTTGAATCAAATTCAATGATGAAAGCTAGACCATAAGCTGAGAACATTCTATACATAATGCTGCATAAAAGGCGCCTTACCGTTGACGGGATCAATTTCAATTCTGAGCGTTAGCTTCTGGCCCAATTGAGTCACAACTGCGTCCGTATTGTCTTCGTTGAGAATTCTCATCGTTATCACTGGCACCTCGGACGATACGTTCACTACAATTGACCCAACCGGCGGTACGCCTGCGCTAAAAAGAGTAACCACAGCCAGAATATCGGGGACGTTTGTCACAGTATCGGAACGGTTTTGCGTTCAGGCGGCGAAATAAATTGTGAAGTTAACGTCTGCGTGAAGAAAAGCTAGACTTACTTTGGATCCGCGAAAGAGAAATTCGAATGAACGGTCACGTTTCTCGGTCCCGGAAGACCGCCGTCGTCCAAGGAGCATCCGACTCTCACCGATTGATCTCCCAATCGCTGAATGATCGGATTGTACTGTATCACAATGATGGCCCAAACGAACGTGCGCGTCCTGCGAAAAATAATTTCCGGCGACTTAATAAAATTGACCATTAATTGAATTAGTAATCGTTTGTTTTATCGCAATTGACAGTGATCCAAGCTGGTTAGACGGTTACGTGACTGGGTACCGATTTTCATTGTCGATGGCAAACGCAACTGTAAGGCCGCACGCAATTTCCGATGTTTTAATTTGCTCTTTCGTTGGCAGCGGCAATTTTAATATCGTCACGTTGTTCCCAACGCCGTTAACGCCGCAAGTAAGAACTTCTCCGTATGCATTAGCGTACATCCGCCCTACGAAGGGCTCCGTAGTGGTCAGTATGACTGTCATGGTCGATTCGCTGCACTCCACTTTCACTGCGAAACAAGGCAGTGCTTCAGTAAGGAAAATATTGGCCAATAATTAAATAGCAATCGATATATACAGAATAAATGAATATTAATTTTCCGGTCATCGAGTAGGAACTTATAACTTTGTCTAATTTTGTGAATTATGTACATTTTGCCTTTATACTTTCTGAAACTTTTCTGAACAGCGTTGCTTCGATCTCGAAATATAGTTTTACGAGCGAAACTTATAAAAGTATCCGCATTGCAAACGTACGATCTAGACAAGGCTCTCGCTCCTTGTAGACCGCGTTAGATCTGTCAACCAGCGAACTGACTCCAAGACCGATTGTGCTGTCAGAATGCAGGAGGCAGAGCGGTTTCTCCTCCGAATAGTCGACGGTATAGGCTCTGCAAATGAAACCGTCCTCACTGCGGTCGCACCTCTCCTCGCACTAAAAAAAATCGTGATCAAGTAACAGAGTGAATCGGCTCGCCCATAAAAGGCAGGAAATATGTAAAGAATACCTGCTTTATGTCAAGTCCCGGTAACGCCACGTCCGAATATGGCAACGATGCGTTCCGAAATTCCGCGTAGGAACAATAGCTGTTCTTCGCTGTGCCAGAACGTACAAGTTAAATTCAGTTCGAACGCAGGTCGATCTTGCGATTTACAAATCGGTTCATCGACTTACGCATATTATGGCACTGATCCTGTAGATACTCGTCTCGATACATCGACGATCTGTAGGCTTGCGGTCTGGTACCCCGCTCGAGCTTCGACAATGAACACGTGCCAATGGTGTCGTTGATCGACAACGGCTCGCCCGTACGATATTGTGCGGATGCACATTCGTCTGATTGTGAAATTATTTCAATTATTGGCATACATAGCTCGTAGTTTCTTGAAAGTTTCTTTTAATTTATTTCGTAGCTAGGACTAGGCCCAATTCACGCGTTTATTTTGTATACCTGCTTGTAGACACCTCTCGTAACACTCGCTCTTCCGTAATGCTTGATGGAACCAGCCGGACTGTCCCTCTTTTAAAATAGCTCCCAAAGTTCTCTCTACGTGCCACAATCTTTGCTGTTTGCAGCTCGGTGGGACTGAAAGTGCAAAAGAACTTGAGAAAGGTGTATTTCTGAAAACATTATTCCCCTAAAAGTTTTCTCTACGGCTGAGAAACATCATAAACATTTTTTTAGATTTTCTTCTATCAGGTAATTGGAACTTGTAGTAGCCTGACTTATATAAGTTAAGCTAGAAAAATGTAGCTAAAATAAAAAATAATACTTTGCCATAATGAGGGAACAGTCGTTACCTTTGATACAGATCTCTTGGAAAAGCGTGGCATTCGTTTCGGGAATGAGTTCCTCGCTTTTTACCTGCACGCTGTAACAGATGTTCCTCGCGAAGTCGACTACGAAAGCTGTGCAATTCAGACTTTTACACCTACAAACAAATTTTTTAATTAAACATACCTTTCCTGCGCAGCAAAAGCTTATTTGCAGCAACACTTGTAACAAATTAACTTGTCTTATGGTAGATGTTGCGATACATTTCTCTTAATTTTCGCACAACAAAGCGTTCAGTTTATTAAATGCATCTGTTAACGAATAAATGTACGCGTAATAAAATATTCACTCGTCTAAAGAGTTGCATTTAAAAGTGCATTTACTTAGAATATCGAACTTCCTGGAATAAC